TGCTTAGTTGCTGGCTGGGGTTAAACCACGACAACAAGTTATCATATCTGTTTGAGCCCAGATTCAAACCCTGAATACCGAAGTCAATGCAAAGGCTTTCCTCAGTTTTTAAGTGGGTATCTCTCCAAATCAGAGAGAGATGACTGACATCTAGTCCAACAGTTTCAATCAAGAATTTTCTGGTCTCTCAACACCTAGCAGTCTGATCTTCTGATTGCTTATCTTCCTAGCAAACGTGCTGAATAAGGTTTCTCATTACTTGGAAGACAAGTACAATTTCTGCTCTCTTCTTACCACACACATGATATAAGAGAGGATGGCGCCAGAGGAGCCAATGAGTGCACCAACAATGGTCAGCAAGTTGTTGTTCAGTAGGAAGCCCTCAGCACACAAAGCCCATCCAGAGTAACTGTTCAGGACAGTAATAACTACAGGCATGTCAGCACCACCAATAGCTGCTGTTAAAGTGACACCCTGGAAAATGAAAGAAAATACACACTTCAGTATAAGCCATGACTAAGGAGAACATGCAAAGAGGACAGTCTGCCTGCAGCATTAAAAAAATAAATATGAAGTTACTGAATAACTCAGTCCACCTATTTTCAACATAGGAGACACCAAGATGTGGCCTGAGGATTTGACTTACTGATTCTGCCTTCTTAGAGAGGACACGAAGGCACTCCACTGTCCTCATCCTGTGCTTAGTCGCTTATTTTTACTCAGAAAAATATCCCACCAGCTCCATGGAATTGTTCATACCAGTAAAGTATTCATACTGAGCAGACTTTGCAAGACTTGGTTAACAGAATGGTAATACGTAAGGTAAATTTTGCAACAGCTAGGGTGAGTGAATGGGGGAAGTTACACATGGGGATAATCTTAAGTTATCATGACAACCTGTACATCCAGTGCCTTTATAAGTATTTTAAGGATGAACTTTCCAAGAAGTCTTTTAAAATATCAGTTTATCATATAAAAGCCTCCATTAAGTCATAGCTGCAAAAAATAATTATATACATACATGCCTGTTCTTTGGAACAGTTCTGTTTTACAGCTAGATTTAGGAAAGTCAGTTGCTACTTGCTACTGCAAGTTAACATACAGACACTATGATGATAGTGACTCGGGATGGTAAAATACAGTCATCGAGAGGAAACTTGCAAAGCTGAAGGATGAACTGCTTGTTTAATTTGTTTCACCTCCTATAATTTCCCAACTTACCATTATGGCTGAGAGAGCTGAGACAGAACCTAAACAAGTAATTCCCATAGTGTAGCTAGGATCAATCATGTATGGAACCATTCCACCAACACTGGCAGCCAGCAACCCTGCATTCAATGCATGTCGACCAGGCAAGAGCAGTGGTGCAGAATTCAGGATACCTGCAGTCAAATGCATATTCAGAGATTGACACATACATGCAGGAGAACCTGTCTCTTGCCCCAGAGGAGACCGAATACCTTAAAAAAAAAAAAAAAAAAAAAAAAAAAAAAAA